GTTGGTCCTTTTGATTGAATTTGATTGGACGAATCTGGGCAGTCTAATTTTAATTGGGATAAGTTGACACGATAGTCGTCATTATCATTAGATGGTGATAGTCCACTATCACTAATCTGATGGTGTTATGTGAAATGAATATGAGCACAATGACGAATACAGTTTTTTAATATTTGGTAAGAATCAGAAAATACTTTTTGAAATAATTAGTGTTTCATCGTTTATTGTTGAAATATTTGTATCATAGTCATTGTTATTATCTCGTTAGCAACAAGACGTCGGATGCAAGACAATAGTGTCGGAAGGCAAACATGATGTATCCACATCACACACAGCTAAATCTAAATATAGCGGGCGCCGATATCAGCGGCTCGCCCTTGAACCAGTCGCACGGAAACATTTTATTATTATTACCGAGCTGTCGGCGAGCACGAGTGTCGGGTCGACGACCTCGCAACCACGTGTCTCCTTATCGACAACTATCTAACACGATTGTGGGTAAACAACATGCAGAGATAAATGACTAATTCCATAACGCTCGCCCATTTAAGCCATTCATAAATAATATCATACCTAATTAGCCTAACGTCACAGCGGTTCCATTCAATGACCGGCTCGTGTGACCAAGTAATATTTCGATCAGTGGTAATTATCGATCGATTGATATATCGGTCGTGAGGATATCATTAACATGCAAATTAGAGTATAATAAGATTGGCGTTAGCAAAAATCTTAAAACATCTCGTTACTCAATACGAGTTTAAATCGAACGGCAAGATATAATAATTAATTACGATTATGTGTATAATTGATTCACGTAATCAGTGATTGCAAAAATCCGTGACGGTCGGAAAAACATGTACATCGTGGGAAGTAGGACAATATTACGTAACCGGTATTTGCTCACTGGCCAGCCTACACGGGTACATCCTTACAAATGCGTACGACCTTGAATGTGAACTCGAAAGTGTAAACAGGCACGTGCTCGATGCATTGTTTTATGGCAGCCAGTTGTGGAATGCCGTAACAAACGCGCTAGGATTAAAACGTGAGAAGGAAGATGCAAAGTACACACAAGACGCGGTTGTTCAAGTTCATCTCACATCTAAATATATGGGAAAGTCATCATCGTTTTGGAATAGAAAGCATGTCGATACTACCGCTCAATAATCTTAAAAACCGACCTTCTTTCCCTGGACTTCCCCTAGTTCTTGCTTTAAATGTTATACATAAACATTTTAACTGTCCATGCTTTTCGTGTGCATCGATTCGTGTTATTTTAATTTCGAGAAAGGGAGTGTGAATTTAGTCTAGTCTACACGTGTCACACGTCAAGTTTCATTCACGTCGATACCGTCAAACACACACGTCCCGGCGGCGTTGCCTCTACATAATGTATGTGCGGTAAATGGAAGTGGTGAAACGGCAGTGAAGCCTCGCGTTTCAATTCCCTTTAAACCGTTTCGAAACTGAGAGACGAACGCACAAATCTCCGCCTGGAAGCGAATATTTGCCTACACATCAAACTTTCACTATCGCCGTACGCTTTCGTTTTTATATCTGCTAACAGCGACGGGTTTCGCTTTGTTATTCCTCCACGGTGCCTTTTTCTTTTTTCTCCGTCTGACACCCGACATGCAGCGGTGAAGAGTGATCGTTGTAGATTTGGGAACTTTACGTCGGACTACTACTACGTGGTAACTACCACACTATCCAGAGCATTTTTTTTCGTGACCTTGCTAAATTATTCAATGCGAGATGTTATCCTAATTTTTACCCGACTACGGCAAAGCAAAAGGAGGGTTAAGTATTGGGGTCTTAGTTTGCTTAAATGTGAGTGAACAACATGCTTCGTCAACAGCCACAGACAGTGCGAGTTACATTGCACTGACATTAAGAAAGAAGCAATTCTAAATGGTGTGAGACTTCTGTGGTGGAGACATAACATAATGATGCACAGAAGTTAGTCATTTTAGATCATAACTAAGAATGCACCTTATGCTTAAAGTATGGTAGTCAAAGTCATAACTGATAAGATCTACCTTCTTCCACCTTCTTCTCGAATGGTGGTAAAAACCAAAATTTTAAAAATCCTTCTACTTTCCGTGCTAATTTCTTAAAAACCCCTTGTACCTACATACTTTAATTGTGGCACACAGTTGTCTTAGTGCCATAATTATGTTCTTACGGGTTGTGTATTTATTCGTATTTAATCACCTGTATAGGTAATGAGAGCATCAATTTAAAGGGTCTCAGCTGAAATGTCTCAGTGTCAATGTATTGTCATAACATGGATTTAGCAATAGTATTTAAGTCGAAATGACCCGTTGGCGTGAAGATCATAAGATTCTGTCAAAAAAAATCTGACAAACATAAAATGGCAGATCATAGATTTAGGTTCATTTTGATAATTATTTTTCCGCCGAGTAACACGCATTTTTAATAAATTATATTATGAACTTTTACCTTCAATCAATATGTTGTATGAATTGTTGTAAGATGTCATACAACATTATTATCTATCAAAGGCGTAGCCGCGGGCAAGTTATTGTCTTGTTTTATAAAAAATATTTCTGTGATATCCCGTTAATGTATCACTCATATCCGTTAATTAATTCAGGGCTTACTCGTAAGCCGCCTCCAGCCACGTTACTCAGCATTACTAGCAACGGCCTAGCTCAGGGCAATGCAGGACGACCCTATATCGGTAAACTATTACGCACAAACTACTACTCCTCGACAGAAATCTTCAATGACTACAGTTTTATGATACGGGGCTTCACCACTACAAGTATGGTAATAAACAATAAGAAATCTCTTGCACGCAATCAATCCCCATTCTTGAAGACCGCTACGTTTGTAGATTGTAGTACACCTATGGAGCCTCTTAGTCGCAGGGCTTTGTCATTAAATTTGAATCACATGAAATCAAAACAAATACATCTACAACGAGGAAGCTCTTGGTCTGCATCTCACGTCACCTTAGTCTGTGATCAGGCCGAAGGTGGAAGCAAGCTTCACCTGGAATCCTCAACCACTGGAACTTAGGTAAGTTGGTGGCAACTAGCCAGGCGGGCTTAGAATCCCCACTGGGAATCGAACCTGACCCCTGGGTTTATAGCAGATGGTATATACCATAGAGGCGGTTAAAGAATGGCGCTAATAAGAAGAGAACAAGTCTGTCAAGTATGGTTCATAAAGAGTCAACTGTTACAACTGATATTCAACATTCCACGACACGACGTGAGTAGCTGAAGTTACATTGAAGAGCAGATTAATCTATGGCATCATAAAGGTAGCAGAGAAGCGCTGGACGCAGGCCGCTACTAATCAATCAACATGGAAAGCATTGGGGAGGCCTATGTTCAGCAGTGGACGTCCTATGGCTGAAATGATGATGATGAATCTATGGCATGGGACGCCATGTGGGGCAGAAAAGTTCTAAACTAACGACCGGAAGGCTTTTCTCCCACTCGGTGGAAGCACTTGGATGCGGGCAGCGCAAGATCCGTCACTATGAAAATCTTTGAGGATGTCTTTATCCAGCAGTGGACGTCAGGTTTTAAATAAAAATATTGAACATGGAGAAACGGGCGAGGTTGTATGCGTCAATGGTAGAAAAACAGATGAAATATAACTTGTTTATGTAAATAACAAAGAACAAACATTTTAGTTCTAAATAAAAAAAAATGCTATTTATATAAATATAGATTTAGAAACAAAGAGTTACTGTATCAGTGTAGGCAATAGCCTAGATACTTTAATTAAACATGTATAGCCTGACCAGGAACATAAAAACNGGAATTATTTATACATAAATAATAATTAATGACTCTAGAATCTAGATCCCATACCTAAATAGCTTTGTGGTCAACGGGTCATATGATCGGTCTGCTTGTGGTCGCTGTATCAGTTCTTTGCCTCTACTTGCAAATATGTAAAACATAATTAACGATTTATGAATTTAATGGCCTTATTTTGAACTTGAATTTGAAAAAGAAACTTAACCAATCTTTATATGGTAAAAAATACCAATTGCCTTCGCAAATCCTTGCTTGATGAGTGTACGGACGTTTTTGTAACTGGTTCTATTGTAATATTTTTTGTCGTGTCTGACCAGCCGACACGCTACGTCACGAGCCCGTTAGTGATCATGGGTCATGCAACTTTAACGAGACGTAAAGTAATAGTCTACCTACATTGTTACTAATGTCTTAATTAAGTTGGTTACTCTATCGAGATGAATTCATACGAGATTTTTCAACACATTTAAGAGGGAGCGAAGAGCCATTTTACGATCACGTATGTAAAAAAATAAAATAGAATACTTATGTTCATAAATTCCCGTATGTAGAGCAAAGAAAAACAAAAGGACACTTTAATAAGGTCAAAATTACTAATTAAAGATTCTATATTAAGAGTGAAAAGAGAGTAGCCGTCATGGAAGCTGTCCAAGTCTCTGAAACATGGAAAAAAACAAACATCATTTTGCGAAAATTTTAAACGGACGAAAAGAAATAAATATAACACCAAACTGTGTACCTATTTATAAATCATTTACTAAACAATTTGTATTTCATAATTGATACTATTAGCTCTTGTAAGTTTTTCTACTTAATTGAATTTAAACACTACTTAGCTTTAATTAAGTAGAATGTTGTGGTGAAACCACCCCACGCATGAATTAACACAAAATGTATAGGTGGAAAGTTAGGTAGGTAACGATATTACAATAAGTGCATTGCTTTGATTAAAAAATAAGTAATTTATTAAGTAAAATTCGAAGAATCAAGAAAAGGAAATTCCGGAGAAGTAAAATATCATAAACTATTGAACCTTTGCATACTTTTAGACACATTCGGAAAATTTAGTAACCCTAGTTTTCCTAAGCAAAAGGTTAGGCACGCGACGAAAGGTAGAGAAATGCAAGTGCTAAGCCCACATGCGCTGTCGCTGCGCGGGCGACGCTCGGCAGGTACGGCCAATGAAGATAAGAGGTTACATGTTTTTTTTCGCGCGATTGCGGTAACCGACCGCGGTGTCGGCGCCACGACCCACCATCCATTCGCTCCTCCGCCGCCAGACCGGCACGCACGCCGCCGCTCGCCCGTACCAAACGTGGTCGCGCGCTAAAATCCCTAACATCAATGGTGCTTGTGAACTTTACAGAATTTCGGAAACAGGAACAAAACAACACCACGCACCCTCACAATCATGGACAAGGACAGAGCATTAGAGGATATGATGGGGAAACTCGGTAAGTACCAAACATATGGAACCTCACACTGTCAGGCACTTTTACATTTTACACGAGTTCTTTTGGTCGATTTGAAATGCGAAGCTTACGCGCCGCTAGCTTTTGGCCCGGTTAAATACGACTTGTCTTGCCTTGAGGCATGAATATCTAATTAATCGACTCTACTTAGTAGTATGTAAAACTTCGATTACTTCACTTTTGCGTTTCCGTTCCCGGTTAACTTAACTGCTTAATTATTTACCTGTCAATTACTTCTATCAATGAATTTGATAACAAAATACGTGGAAAGCCTAAAAAATATTTGCATTAGATCTACATATTTTTACAAACAATAATTTAAGACTGACACTTATTTATAACTTTTTCCTTCCCATATTCGCTCTGAGAACTAATTATGTGAAACAAAAAACTTTGAAAGCGAAACACGTGATAACAGACTTCGACTCAGTTGCCAAAAAACACTTCTTGTTTCGTAATATGTTGACAAATCCACTTATTTTCTTTCATAAAACATCCTCGAAAATCGATTGTGCTGTAGCCACTCACTGTGTAATGTAATTAACCGTAATAATTACCCAACAAAATACTTGATATCAACTTCGTGTAAGGTTTCCTTGAAGGTTTTATTGCTGGGCTCTTCACACAGCGGTTACGTGCCCTCTAAAGAAAGTTATGTATAATTGCCAATTTACACACAAAATTTAGTAATCGCTGTAGTCTTTTTCAGGAAAATCTATTCAAACTCTACAGTTAACAAAAGCAAAAAGTGCTTAAACAATCGAGTACTATTCAAACTTTTTACATTATTGTTTTCGATATGAAATCCAATACTGCCTTTGAAAGTAGGTATCTATTACAATTTATAAAATCGTAATTTATATTTGGCATTTGTGATAAGAGTGAACCCTCTGATTTAAATACAAACTGTTGAACTCTATCATCTAAGTTATCATCAGTATCTATTTATACATTTGTATAGAATGTAATAACAAACCGAATGTTAATCAGTATTTATTTGACATAATTATATCATATTATTCACGTTCTATTATTATGTATGTAATTATTTTCCAAATGTGCTTAGTTAAGTATTATTAATTTCTTAAAAGTCTTTATCTTACGTACTTACCTATAATATTTTTTCACCGCACACTATTTAGAAAAAAAAATTGGGCTGTAATGATCATTGCGGATATTAGAAAATTAGCGCGTGTACTTACTTAAGTATACAATTAAAGAAAGAGTCGTCTTAATGCGTTGAATTTGTCCCGATTACATTTATTTGTAATTATAAATGATTAGTTAATCCCGCTGGTTGTGTATAAACAGTGAATTCTATTGTTACGTTAATCAAATGTACATAATTTTCTTTGCAACCTTGCAGCCATTATTACGCAATTTAACGTGACATAAGTACTTTTATTAGTCCCTATAACTGTTGCGTGAGCGATAAATAAATAAATCGTATTGATATTATTTCAGTATTTACGCGCTAATAGGTAACCGGTTTTTAAATAATACATATTTTTTATTAACTGGCCCAAATATACTCGTATAATATGGTAATCAATAAACCAGATAATCTTCGTGGGTTTATAAAAACAGACATAATTTCCCGACTCTACCTTACTAGACTGTATCAATTTTTTAAACATTTAAATAAACACATTGTTTCCAATGCGTCTTTTAATACTTTTAAACGATTTTGGTTCAAGGGTCAGCCAATGACTTATCCAACTGAACAACGTAGGTAGAGATTAGAGTTACCATTTAGTTAACCAAAGCGTATCAACGTGTAAAGTAACAAAAAGAGGAGGATATAGGGAATAATAAACGAGTAGGTATAATTATATTTAGCCCGTTAAAACATTTTAATATGGCACGTCATATCGTATTAGGAATAGGTAAGTCCTACATAAGTATAACCAGGTAACCGCAATTCATCAAAAGATGTTATTTATATAATTAGCTGAACATTTTAAAATATATGTACCTATAAACTTACTAAGAGCACGGTAAACACACCTTTAATACTAGAGGTACCTATAGCTAAGTACACAAGATTTTTTTTTACATTATAGGCACCGTCCTTGAAAGGTCAACCCCTGTAAAAGACACCACTTACATCATTGTCTACGTAGATACCTATAGCGGTAGACCTTGTCGTTTCTTAAACGAGTTCCGATGTTAATGATGTTGAAATTTAATCTCACTTAAAACTATATTATTTCCATATTTTATTTATGTTTAGATAAATAAGTTTTTATCGTTATACATAAAACATATCTATGCAAAAATTAAATTAAGCGGAATATTACTGATCTTGTTTTGAAATTAACATTAAGATAATGTAGCTGCGTGCATATTTTATACCTACCTGTTAAATAAGTAAGCCTAGGCGCAGACCACCGACTTTTAGTTTGGGGCCCGATTTTAATTTGTATGAAGAATCGACCGACACCAAATCGGTGTAATGTGCGCACTTTCATACATTTCCATACTGATTAATAGCCCGCCCGACTCAACTATCGGCCGACAAAAAGTAGGTGGTCTGCGCCTCCTTTTTTGGGGAAAAAATGCATTGAATTGCATACCTACCCTATGGGGCTAACTGTAATTAAAATGCACTTTCCATAAATGTCAATTTGTACGTGTTGAATTTTCACAACTGGTATGTTACACTAAACCAGTGGTTCTTAAACTTTAAGTCATGAGGGACTATTTTACCAAATTTCTGTCTTGTCAGGGACCACCCCATAATCATAATCGGTCAAAAGTAGACCAGTTTGATTGCAAAAATCAGTTAAAAGTGGTTTTACCCAAGGTGTGCAAGTAGGTACACTTCGTGGACCACTTGGAATGCCTCCAGGGACCACCAGTGATCCGCGGACCACCGGTTAAGAACCACTGCACTAAACTAATGTTAATACACTTGACACACTCATGATAACCTAAGTAGTAAAAGATCGCGATTTTTCCGTTGTGAGTTCATTTCCGGCTTGTAGGTAACTGGTATTTTTTTTACAAAATTTAGATTTGTGAAAAAAAAAGCTAATAACTATGTACGTACACACAGCGATTACTTACTAGGGTAGGTGACATTGAGATGCCTATTGGAAAACCACTCCCTGAAATCGCCTGAGAATGATGTCATTGTGTGCACTTCACACACAGTATTGCCCACATTCTCACCCTTAGCATTGAGACACACTTAAAAGTAACTTGGCACAGTTCTCCGTAACTAATATGATTGTAGATCGTATGATGCGTAGAAATCACAAAACACAGTGGAATCAAAGCCAACAAACGAGCCAGTGTTGTACCTAAAGTATTCTATGTTAATGTATTCCAACTAACGGTGTGCCGGCTAAATGCACCTTATTAGACGTTCAATGCATTCCATCCACAGCAAATAATACGCTTTACTTTAGTTTATTTGTTAAGTAGGATCATAAATAATTTTAGGACGCATTTTAGGGATAACTACATACTTTAGTCCTTGTTTAAATTGTTATTGTAATAAAAATAAGTGTGTACAAATACTATCTTGAAATTGGAATTACTATACAAATAGCTATACTCCGTTTGTAATCTTATAGGAAAACTATAGGCAGAGCTGACCTAAATACACAGACAAAACATACGCAAACGCATGTTTATGTGTTTACGCAACTTTCTATTTTTATACTTATTCATAAACTTGTCTCAGACGCAAAGGAATATACGACCAATATTAGTTGATCTACTGAATTGATTATGGTTAAAGATATTATGATGATAATGTATCATGAAAGAAGGTTAAGAGCATGTTGCTAGGAATACTCATAAATTAATTTATTGATTGTACATTTAACATAACGTACGGAGACCTAGTTTACATGTTTGCCAACTCGAAACACGAACGTCGTCAACTTGCCGAAAACATTTTGTTTATGGACACGAAGAGCCAAATATCGCAATGCGGGATCATTTAGGTAAACAGGTACCGCATTGTAAAGAGTTCCCAAGCCAAACAATACAATTTATACATTTCGCTGCAACAATATTATCTAATCACCATACTTAGAAACACCCTGACTAAATACCCTTTCTAGTCGACGGTAAGACAAACGGAATAAATTTTAAAAGCTTCGGCTGTATTACAATTGAATGGTCTATTTTAACAATGGTTAACCCACTGAGTTGTTCTTTTTTTCCGAAACTCATTTAAATATCTTCAAGGTTACCCAAATATGGTTAGCAGCTACCAAAGAGATAGCAGCACCTTTCTTTCTAGTTTAATGTGTGTCACATTCGACGTTTTTGTGTCGGTGTCTGTGGGGCAGATAATAATAGCTGTTAATTAAGTGATAACAATCTTACCCAATATTTCATAAGCAATATCTACATTTATCGTCAACGCAAGTGTCATATGCGTTTCATAATTTAAGTCACGCTTAAAGGACGTCAGAATTCCATCATGCCTGTCTATTCCTAGTATTCGTGTCCCTCGATGCGCGGTTTTATTGTTAGAGATAAAAACAATACTTAGACTAACAATAGATGTTGTGACAAATAGAGTACCTAGTCTAGAACGTCTTAATTTCACTCTGTAAAACGCTAGGTACTGTAATGTACAAGTAATGCGAAATCCTTTAGTAAAAATGATGAAAAACGCCTGAAAAGTAACTGAAAATGAAAAAGGTAATGTTAAGTTTCAAAAAAATATGGCTCGTGCAATCTTCAATGCCTGAAAAAAATACATGGAAAGAACTCTACATATAAGATTATTTCAAAGAAGTAGGTAAAATTCCATAAATCTGGTTTTCTGTGTTTGCCTATGAAATTCATAACCTGTGATCTCGTAATGTACACGTAGTGACGATCGTGAGGTCACATGGTGATAAGTGATAAGAGAGTCGAGCGTGAGCGCCGTGATAATAATAAATGTCGTCGCAAGAGTGATGAACTGTTGATAATTAAAAATAAAAATGTCACTTCAATGACACATCACATCCGAG